AAGTGGAGATGATTAGCAAGAACAGAGATGTGTGTAGGTTTCACTTAAAAACGACATCATTTTATATAAAGAAGCATCCAAAGATAACCCCCTGGGTCCTAGAAACAATCCTCCAGTCCTATACACATTACCTGGCTCTTTCTGCTCCATTAATAATGCCCACGCTCCTAACTACTAAGTAACATAACCTAGACCAGCGCTCGTGTGTGTGTGTGTGTGTGTGTGTGTGTGTGTGTGTGTGTGTGTGTGTGTGTGTGTGTGTGTGTGTGTGTGTGTGTGTGTGTGTGTGTGTGTGTGTGTGTGTGTGTGTGTGTGTGTGTGTGTGTGTGTTCGTGCATACATTTCCCCCCCCATTATATCACTAGCCCCTTGCAAATACTCCATTTGCCGCCCTCTAGTGGAGACAAAGCAGATTGTTCACGTGGGCCGTGAGAACTGCGCCTGCGCATACCGCCTCCGGCGCGTCGCGACGCCAGGCGCCTGCGCATTGAGCCCGGCGCCCTCTAGGACTTACCCAGAAGGCCTCGCGTCGTTCTCGGGTCACCATGGCGGGCAGGTCGGCTGGTAAGTGACCGGGCCCCTCTGCTCCGTGACGAGCTTCGCGGCGTTCGACCTCGCTCCTCCTCTGTTCTGAGTGGCCGGGGGTCTGCGCACACGGGAAAGGCAGGCCCGCGTGTGGCTGCCTGCGGGGGTGAGGCCTGGGGATGGTGGCGGTGCCGGGTGCTCCGCGCGCCGGCCGCCGCGCCCTCCCCGCGGCCTTCGAGGCGTTCCGGGCGGGGAGACGGCGGGGGAACGGCTGCCGCTGAGGCCCGAGGAGGCCGGCCCGGGGCCCTCCCTGCCCTCGCGCGCGCCTCGCCGGGCCCTGCGCAGGCTGGGGGCCAAGCCCCTTGAGTTCCCTTCCTGGGCGCCCTGGAGCCCTGAGCCCTCCGGGGCGCTTGGGGGGGTTTGCGTTTACTGGGGGCAGGAGGACTCACGCAGGGGTGGAGGGGATGTGCACTTCAGATAGTGTCAGCCCCCCCTCCCACACACCCCACCCCCGGGCTCTCGGGCAGCGGAATTTGGACTCGCTTTTGTCTTTGTAATTAAATACTGTTGCCATTCTGCACAGCTTCAGAAATGGTGAAACTGTCAAGGAACATCAGTGAATTGAGTTTTGTGAAAGTGCATTAGACTTGTTCACGAATGTATTCCGTGGGGGTGCCCCACGCGGGGTAACCCGGGAGTTAAGGCTGAATCAAGCAGATGTCAAGGTAAAGGTCACCTACACTACCCTAGTCAGACTCTGTCTTTAAAAAAAAAAGGACTAGAGCTTCAACTCAGGGCCTGGGCGCTGTCCCTGATCGTCTTTGTGCTCAAGGCTAGCACTCTACCACTTGAGCCACAGTGCCACTTCCAGCTTTTTCTGAGTAGTTTATTGGAGATAAAAGAATCTCAGACTTTCCTGCCTGGGCTGGCTTGGAAAAGCAGATGCTCAGATCTCAGTCTCCTGAGTAGCTAGGATAACAGAGGTGAGCCGGCGGTGCCTGGCCATGATAATTCACTGTTACTGCTAACTTCTCTACAGCTTTATTACAAATAAACCTAGTAAATATGGGTAAAGCAAACAGGACAGTGCCTGGCACACTGAAATGTTTCGTGAACGATAACCATGATCATTATCACTTGCCAGTATGTTTACAACAAGTATGTTTGGAGACAGTTAACTATATTTTTAGATAGTTGACTGATATTTTTACCTAGAAATAATTTTATACATGGTTCTTAATTTCCAAGGAGAGTTTCCAAAGTCATGTATAGTGTATTAAGGAGTTTGTGGTTGAAGTGAAAGGGCAGTTTGATTTTCTTCTTTGGTAAGGGGCTAGCCCTAGATGTTGGTTGGTTGGTGTGTGTGTGTGTGTGTGTGTGTGTGCGCGCGCGCGTGCATGGACTGTTAAATTTATTACTTTTTGAGACAGTGTCTCAAATCCTCACAATCCTCTTGCCTCAGCCTCCTCAGTGCTAGAATTACAAGTGTATGCTCTACCCCACTCAGCCTCTTTAGTTTTCATGTTCATAGTCCCTAAAGAGTTTTCATGTTCAAATTCATTATGTGTTCACATACTCATTCCCTTAATGGAAAGTTAGCTGCAAAGAAGATAACCAGATGCAATAATAATAATACATATAAGAGTGGGGGTTTGTAGCCCTGCCACCCATCCTGAAATCCAGCCCTCTTTTCATGTACCTCCTCTTCCTTTGAAAAGAACAGTGTGCAGTTATTCTTGTAATTTATTTCTGCAACTACAAATTGTAGAAATGTTCTGGGCTCCTTTCCCATCCCCAGTTCTGCAGGGATATTAGGGATTAGCTTGTTAAACCTTAGGGAGGCTGACCTGCAGTAGTTGTACCTAATGATCTTTTTATATATTTGCTGTTTGAGCTTACCCTCTTCTCCCATGATGTGCCATATATTTTATCTAGTCATTTTTTATCATAGATAAAGCAAAGAACTCTTACCTATACTGTAGAGAATATGATTTATTTTTTTGGTCATGGGGTTTGAACTCTGGGCCTGGGCGCTGTCCCTCAGCTCTTCAGCTCAAGGCGAGCACTCTACCACTTGAGCTACAGCGCCAGTTCTGGTTTTCTGGTGGTTTATTGGAGATACGAGTCTCACAGACTCTCCTTCCTGGGATGGCTTTGAACCATGATCCTCAGATCTCAGCCTCCTGAGTTGCTAGGATTACAGGTGTGAGCCACTAGTGCCTGACTGAGAGTATGAATTTTTAATAGGACATTCCTTCTTGTATTTGCATGAAGATAGCTATAAGAGTACTGGTTGCTTATGTTCATAGAAATTAACAATGCAATAATTACCAGTTTCAGCCTCTGGATGGTGGCTGGATGGTGTTCGAAAATGGTATTACAGTGCTGCAGGATTCAACAAACTGGGTAAGTTCACTCCTGTTTCCTTTTTCTTTTTATAAGAGATTTATTATTTTAAAAAATACTTTGAGAAAGCAATGATTTATAGTAGCAGGACATCCTTATTATATTTTCCTCTCAACTCCTTTGGGTTTCCATTGTACCTAGTGATTTGGACTCTCAGTATTTCACCCATGTCCTGAGTTATAACTCATAAGGGTATTTTGCTCATTAGGGAAAAAATACTTCCTTTTTATTCTTTTTTTGATAGATTTATTTTTCTGTCTCAGGGTTAATGCGAGATGATACCATACAAGAGACTGAAGATGTAAAAGAAGCCATAAGAAGGCTTCCTGAGAAACTTTATAATGACAGGATGTTTCGGATCAAGAGAGCTCTGGACCTGAACATGAGGCAGCAGATCTTGCCTAAGGAGCAATGGACAAAATATGAAGAGGTAGAACAGCTTTAATGTAATTGACATTGGTGACAAGGACAGGAGTATAAGATAAGTGTATTGATTCCCACTGCATTAGCACTCTCAACATTATGTCACATAACTGTCCTGACCACAGTCTGCTAAGCTTAGTAGAGCAAGTATTAGCCCCAGTTTAGAGAAAAACACACTGAGACTTAGAAATAGAGTGACTTCCAAAGTCAGAAGGAAAATCTTCTGTGATAGACCAGGTGCTCTCCTTCCCAGGGCATTCTCCCTCTTCACTCTCTCTCAGCTCAGATGACATTTAGCATTCAAGTCCGCTGAGTGGTCCCTCCAGGTCCAAAAAAGGACTTTTTACCCCTGAACTATGCTGGAACTAGGGAAAAGCCTATAGACCATCATCCTTTCTTTTTTCTTTTTCTTTTTTTCTTTCTACTGACAGACTTCCCTTTTGTAACCTATCAGAGCAACCGGTAATATCTTTGTGGATTTTTACATCTTAAAAAGCAAGTAGTGTCTGGGTAAGGTAGCACGTGCCTATAGTCTAAGCTACTTCTATTCAAGGCCAACCTAGACAAAAAGTTGAGACCCATACCAATAAACTGGCATGGTGATGTGTGCCTGTGATCCCAGGTATAGGGAGGCCGTGGTTAGGAAAATCAAGGAATGAGGCTAGCTCCAGGCAAAAAGGCAAGCCCCTACTTGAAAAATAACTAAAGCAATAAAGGGCTAAACAAGGTTCAAGTGGTAGAGCACGTGTTTAGCAGGCTCAAGACCTTGTGTTCAAACCGTAGTATTGGCTAAATAAATAAAGACATAGTTATCAGTCTGGTTGAGAATTTATTTTCTTATGTTGGAAATAAAAAGTAATTGTGGGTTTCATTTGTTGAGACCTATCAAGTGTTTGGGATATATCAGAATACAATCATAGGATATAATTTTTTTTATTTATTTATAGGATAAATTCTACCTTGAACCATACCTGAAGGAGGTTATTCGGGAAAGAAAAGAGAGAGAAGAATGGGCAAACAAGTAATCACGAAGTTGGAACCTGTGAATGCAGTTGTGCTCAGAGAATCTATGAAGTAAATTAAATCTGAAACATACAATTTAAGAATATTTAAATAAATATAATCATTGATGGAACTTTTGAATTCTAAACCTTCTTCTGATGACTCCTGAATTCACTTTTGTCACAGTTCTTTCCAAACCCTCTTATCTGTTTGTTCCAGTACTGAGGCTTGAACTCAGAGCCAGGGTGCTCTCACATAGCTTTTTCACTCATAGCTGACAATCTACCTCTTCTTCCAGTTATTTTCTGTTTAATTGGAGATAGTTTCACAAGGCTTTCCTTCCTGAGCTGGCTTCAAACCTCTCGATCCTCAGATCTCACCTGTTGAGTACCTAGGATTACAGGTGTAAGTCATTGACTCCTGGCTTCTTTCCAAACTTTTTTTTTTGAGAGGGGGGGTTGGTCATGCAGCTCAAGGTGAGCGCTCTACCACTTGAGCCACAACGCCATTTCCGGTTTTCTGGTTGTTAATTGGAGATCAGCGGCACAGACTTTCCTGCCCTGGCTGGCTTTGAACTGCAATCCTGAGATCTCAGCTTCCTGAGTAGCTAGGACTACAGATGTGAGCCACCGGCACCTGGCTTTCAAACTTCTAAGATAACATTTAGTGCTTAAGTATACCTTGAAGATCAGAAGCTACTTTCATCTTTTGCTTATTGGTTGGATAATTTCTCAATCTTACAATTTTTATAAGCCAAGCAAAGTCACCTTTAGATTGTGCCTTCATAGGTTACTGATGTATTTGGAAACTGCATCAAGGCCTGACTTATAGGAGTGGGATGGGGCAAGAAATGAGTGCCAATGACTGTTTTTCCTAAAGTGAACAGCATGCAAACAGACTGGCTGTCAGCCTCAGAAAGGACTAGCATTGCACAGAGTTCTGTAGCTACTGTTATGGGTAGTGGCAATGTCAGACTGTCCTATGCAGTGCAATATCAGAATCTTACCTGAAAGGACCGGAAGGGACCATTCCTTCCCTTGCTTGTCAGGACTATCCTCCCAGTAGACATATTTGCATATTACCATTTAAAAAGGAATTATGCATATATCCCTACATGGGCAAAACAAATGATACTTCAAAGTTTTAAGTATCATCATCTTTAAAAGCTTTAAGGTTGTAAGCTAATTTAAAAAATATAAACTACTGGGCTGGGAAGGTGGCTCAGTGGTAGAGTGCTTGCCTTGCATGCATGAGGCCCTGGGTTCGATTCCTTAGCACCACATAAGCAGAAAAAGCCGCAAGTGGTGCTGTGGCTCAAGTGGTAGAGTGCTAGCCTTGAGCTGAAGACTGAGGGACAGCACCCAGGCCCAGAATTCAGGCCTCACAACCGGCAAAAAAAAAAGATATATATATATATACTACTAATTCAGTAATACTATTATTCTTACTCCTAAATTCTGAAGTGCTTTTTGTACAAGTGAGATCTGGGCTCACGGTGAGCAGGCAGGAGTGGTAGGCCCTATGGTGCAGTACAAGATGACAGAATATGAGAAGTTTCGTCTTATGTTTAAAATTCATAACCAAAATACACAAGTCTATTTGGCATCTTTTCCACAAAACAATGCTGAAATAATACATTTGACTTTTGCAACATAATCACAGAGTACCTTTTAAAAGTTTTGCTAAAATATTAGCCCTTTTGCAGGTCACCATTAGCTGAAGCCTGTAAACCTAGCTACTCAGGAGACAGATCTGAGGATCACAGTTCAAAGCCAGCATGGGCAGGAAAGTCTGAGATTCTTATCTCCAGTTAACCTTCAAAAAGTTAGTAGTAGATCTGTGACTCTAGTAGAGCACTAGCCCTGAGCACAAAAGTTCAGGGACAGCACCCAGGCACTGACTGCCTCAAGACTAACATGTGCACCTGCATATTCACACACACATAACACACAGCCTCTCCTCTGCTACTTAGACTATAGTTTGAAATATCTCTCCTGGGGCTAGGAAGGTGGCTCAGTGGTATAGTGCTTGCCTTGTATGCATGAGGCCCTAGGTTTGATTCCACATAATAAGCAGAAAAAGCCAAAGTGGCGCTGTAGCTCAAGTGGTAGAGTGCTAGCCTTGAGCTGAAGAGCTCAGGGATAGCACCCAGGCCCAGAGTTCAGGCCCCACGACTGACCAAAAAAAAAAAGTTCTGAGAATTAGGGAACTTGAGATGTATATGGGTGATAGAATGCTTGCCTAGCATGTACAAGGCCCTGGGTTCCGTCCTTAGTACTCTCTTAGTTCTCTCTTTTTGGGGGAGAGGGAGGAATCAGGAATTTATATTTTTATATTTTCATTATCTTTAGTTGTACAAAGGAGTTGCCATTCCAACAAGGCATCATATAAATATATTGCATCTTGATTGATTTCACGCTTTTCATCATTCTATATCCTTACCAACTCTACCCCTACCCTCAATTTTCTTAATTTTGTAGGATATGCATTGAATTTTATGGCTGTATTCTCTATTTGTCTATTCCCTGTCCCTTAATCTCACCTCCTTTTCAAGTCCATTTCCTGGTGTTTATTGTATTGGACTGTGAGCCTTTCTAAGGAATTGCACTGTTGGAATGTTCCCCTGAATATCCTATACTTCAATTAATACATTTGTGTCCTCAGTTCTCTTTTGTCTCTAGCCTGAGATAGGTCCTCTTGATAATGATTTTGCTCCAGTGAAAAGTGGTTTAGTGCCTTAGATATTCAAAGGGAATACTAAGGGTACTACAGAGCTGACTGGCTGAGCTATAACAGGAAGAGGAGACTTCAGGATCCACCTGCTCATACTAGAAAGTGTGGCATTGCAATCAGGAGCCTCTTACAGCGAAGCTGCCTAGTTCACCTTTGCTTGATTACTTGGTTATAAATGAAAACAAACGTGAACAAGTATGGTTTTCTTTTTTTCTTTTTTCTTTTTTTTTTTTTTTGGTCGGTCACAGGGCCTGAACTCTGGGCCTGGGCACTGTCCCTGAGTGCTTCAGCTCAAGGTTAGTATTCTACTACTTGAGCCACAGGGCCACTTCTGGCTTTTTCTGCTTATATGGTGCTGAGGAATCAAGCCCAGGGCCTCATGCATGCAAGGCAAGCGCTCTACCACTGAGCCACCTACCCAGCCCAACAAGTATGGTTTTCTTTGAAAACTGTAGCATGCTATATCAGTGTTCTTAATTATAGATTATTATTTGGCTTGTCATGAGGAATGAGAAAAATAGAACTAGTATTTGGCTCCATGAGAGATTAAGCCACTAAGAACTTTTTAATCATGAGAGATGTTTCTGTGTTATCAAAAGCCATCCCATATAACAAGTCATGTTGGAGTGTGTGAAACACAGGCCTTCTTCCTGAATACAGAACAGCAGAGCACTCAGCTGATTCTGGACCAGGCTTCAATCCATTTACTGTGTAAATTTAGGAATCTAATTCAACCTCTATGTCAGTTTCTTTAGCTCTAATATAGGGCTAATGAGTTGGCCTATTTTACAGGGTTGTGAAAACTATTACGTTATATATCAAACACTTAGAACATTTCCTGGCACATAATAAGTGCTGTGTAAGAGCTTCTTTAGGTGAATAGAAGAATAAGTAATTGGGTAAAATGCTAAGTATGATCAAGTCTAATGGACCAGTAGGCAAAATCCAAGGTGTTCTATCTACTTCAAAGTACTTGTAATCCATCACCTGCCTTGGATATCAGACCTGAACAAAGTACTTATCACCTGAGATGAGAAGTAGCGGAATTGGATCCATGTGACTACTTTGATTAGATGATTCTCCAGCTAAGAGTTTGGGTTTAAACTGTTCAATAACTTTCCGTGTTCACACTTTGAGGTGGGCCTGGACTTTGCATGTATAGTTTTCCTAGACCTCCAAGAAAGAAAGATTTGTTTACTCAGAAGTGTGTTATATTCTATTTTTTTCATTCTACTATACATTGCAGTTTCTTCCCCAAACCAGACAATTGGTTTAACTTCACTGTCATGCACCTGGTATGTTGTTCAGTGTAGGCACTTTAAGCCCTCAGACTTTCCAAATGTGAATTCTGGTCTGAATTCTATATTAAATAGAAATATTTGATAATATTCTAAAGCTAAGTTCTCATTGCCTAACTATGTGACTCTCTGTATTGGTACCTCAATATTAACTAAGTAAACTTAACTAACAGTACTTTTGCCTACTTTTAAATTCTAGAGTCTTAAGAAAATCCAAGGACTCTCTTGTTTAGCTCTGCACTAATTCTGATTCAAGAATAGGATAAAAATCAGATCAAAGCCCAAAGTCCTATAGCCATTAAATTCCTTCCAAAGTCACAAACAGGTTGGTATTTTAAAAATATAGATATTCGAGCTGGGCACCAGTGGCTCATGCCTGTAATCCTAGCTACTTAGGAGGCTGAGACCTGAGCATCATGGTTCAAAGCCACCCAGGGCAGAAAAACCCGTGAGACTCTATCTCCACAAAACCACCAGAAAACCGGAAGTGGTGCTGTAGCTCAAGTGGTAGAGCGCTAGCCCTGAGCTAAAGAGCTGAGGAACAGTGCCCAGGCCCAAAGTTCAAGCCCCACGCCCAACAAAATATATTTTTTTAACGTGTGTGTGGAGAGAGAGAGAGATCCTATGTGTGCTTTGAAAATAACCAAAGGGTTTGAAATTTAAAAGGCGAATATTAAAACTCATAACTAAATCTGTCACAGTTCGGTGAGTGGAGAACAGATGGGGTACACTATACAGAGCTCATTTTAGGAGCTCCAGGATCAGAGATGAGCAATTACCAAGTGCATGAGATAGCTCCAGAAAACTTGAAGAGTCCCTGTACTGTAACAAGGAGGGAACTGCTGCCACTAGGTGGCGGCGAACTACAGCCTTACACGCTAGGTACAGCACACCCGGGAAGATTTATCCATTTTGTACCTGCACCAACTCCCTCTTGCTCATTTTTCAGGATGACAACACCTTAGAGGTTTATGGCCATCGGGAGAATTTACAACTAAGCCACATACTGATGTAATGAAATCTAATATATGCTGTGAAGTGAATTATGAGATGTGATTTAGTTTGGAGATTTTATTACTTTAATCAGTTATGACCATATTTCCTTTTATATGATTGCTCACTCTTTAAAAATACCAGATGACTATATAAGGAACACTTAATAAAGCCTATCTATGTTAAAATATATGTATTGTATTTGCCATAATTTGTTTAAATGCTGGTTATCTGGGTGTTTATTAAAAGCCGTAGGAGGTTAGCATATGAATGAGATCTCGAATTTGATGATGCCCCTAAGTCATATTTTGCTAAGAAATTTTTATTAGCAATTGAACAGGAAAAAGAACTGTTATTGCAAGGTAATTAATTTTTAGCAGAGATGTCAAAAAGCCTGTTAATATTTGAGTGGTTTATGACAAACTATTTAAATAGTCATTCTGGAATCTGACTATATCTCCTTTAGTAGAAAGAATGTATTATTTGTTTAACTTTGTACTTTAATATATTTGCCTATTTTTGCATAAACGCCAAAAATGTAATTTTAAAATAAACCTCTGTAACTTCTAGTAACATTATTCACTTGAATTATTCGGTTAGTATTCTAACTATTTTTAAGAAAGTTTTACACATACCTGTAAAAATTGTTATTATAAGCCAAGCCAAAAGAAGGTAATTATTTATTTTAGAAGAGTTAGCTTACAAT